CTGGGATTCCCATTCCATGTTATTTATACAGGGAACTCTGATAACCTAGTCAGCAGGAAGCTACTTGGCCAGCCCAAAGGCAGGTGGTTGGAATCCACCAGCTGTTCCTTGGGAGAAAGGTGAGAAATGTCCTGTGCGATTTACAATCTTGGACAGTGAATTGGAGGAGGGTCAGTTATGAATTGGTTTTGGCTTGGTGGCACATAACAACAAAAGCAGCTAATCATTGTATTAGTGAACCTTTAAGAAAGAACATATAGAAAGTATGGAGGAGAGGAAATACATTAAGATAAAATGAACAAGAATTTTTGGTCCAGTGAAAACAGACCCAGGAAACAATTTGACCTGGAAAAGAGTATATGGGGGGGGTATGAAAAAGAGAGAAGAGATTACACAGGGAATAATGAGGCTTGTATATCCTGAAACAAAGATTTACATGATCTTTTCTACCTACCTAACAGGAATTGGCAAAGAATATAATCCCAGGAAATTATGGAATACCAGTTGACACATTTCAATAACAGATGCAGCCTGCATGTGCTCACTAGTCTGTTCCAAGAAATTTAGAAGACAGCTGGCCAACTGATTGGAAGAAATTAATATTTGTTACTATTCAAAAATTTAAAATGTGATCCAACAGGATGTGGAAATTATTGAACAGTATCATTACTATCATACACAAGTAAAATGTTCCTCAAGATTGTTCAGAAACAGCTGGAATAGTCAATGCATGAACAAGGAACTGCCAGATATCCAAGCTGGGTTCAGAAGAAGCTATGGAATGAGGACTATCATTGCTAATGCAAGATAGATCTTGACTGAAAGCAGGGAATACCAGAAACATGTTTATTTATGTTTTATTGACTATTCAAAGGAATTTGACTGTGTGCATCATAACAAATTATGTCTAATATTGAGAAGAATCATACAACACGTAATTGTGCTCATGCAAAACCTAGACCAAGAGACTGTTGTCCAAACAGAACAAAGAACATGGCTTAAAATCAGGAAAGGTGTGTGTCAGGGTTGTATCCTTTCTCCACACCTATTCAACCTGTATGTTGAGCAAATCATTCGAGAGGCTGCACTTCATGAAGAAGAATGTGGCATCAGGTTCAAAGGAAGACTATGCACAAGACACAGCCTTTCTTGCTGAAAGTGAAAGAATTTGAAACACATGCTGCCGAAGATCAAAGACTACATACAGCCTTCAGTGTGGTGCATCTCAATATTAAGAAAACAAAATCTTCACCATTTGACCAGTAGGTAACATCATGATAGATGAAGAAAAGACTGACATTTTCAGTTATTTTCTTGGATTCATATTAACACCCATGGTAACAGCAGTCAAGAAAGCAAAAGATGTGTTGCATTTGGGAAATCTGCTGTCAAGGACCTCTCCAAAGTGCTAAAAAGTAAGGATGTCCATTTAAAG